TTGAAGTTCGTAATGGATACTACAGCCTACGACAAAAAATTGTTTATGCAGGTCCATGTCTTCGTATAGCCCCCATATAACGGTACCTCCCTATATTCGGTATTTTGACAATTTTAGGTACTATACCCACCGAAATGTTTTGAGATGTCGTATTTGAAGTTCGTAATGGATGCTACAGCCTGTGACAGAAAATTGTCTGTGATGTTCCAGGACTTCGCACAGCTCCGATAAAACGGTACCTCCCTATATACAATATTTTGATGATTTTAGCTACATTATTCACCGCTTATTTCAAGTTTCCAATTTGAATATGGTAGTGGCTTGTGACAAACAATGCCTATGCTAAAATGAATATGCAAAATATGGTTAAAATGTAAACTATACTTGAAATCGGGTTGTACCCTTATCCGGGGGTAATATATCATGACCTGCAAAAGCGATTTAAGGTATCTTGCATTTTGAGTTCTCATAGGACGGATTATTGTCATATGAAAGAAGTAGGTCCACGTAGGTCACTGACTTCATTTTTAATGTTATTCATTCAGAATCCAATATAAAAAAATATTCACTTCAATATAGTATGTCAAATTGAAAAAAATCACACCAGAAAGATTTGTCATTAACATTTTTATTGACATATTTTACTACGATTTTTTACCAGGGTACCATTCCAAAATTGTATGAATTGTAAAAATACGGCAAGCCATTCAACTTGTTCGAAGAGTTTTTACAACAAAAGTTTAAAGATCTTTATAAAGTTTGTCAATAGAATTTAAAATTCGATTCCATTGAATTTTCGATTTTTCTCTATTTTTTTCCCGATTTCATAATTTTTGCAATGAGATCTCTTTTTTGTGATTTTTTAGCGATTTTGAAAAGTAATTATCTTTTATGTTATTTCGATATTACCTATTCCGTTTCGCCACCACATAATTCGGTACTACATTTCAATGTAACTCTCCTTTAATTTCAGTTCTCAAGAAATCACGTCATTTAAATAAATTGGTATTAATATTCGAATACAGAAATAAAATATAAACAAGTTAAAAAGCAGTAAGTTCGGCCGGGTCGAACTTTGAATACCCTCCACAATTTAGAACGAATTTGGAAATTTAAAAAAAAATAAAATCCTTAAAAAATGCCGAATATAGCCGTTATATTGGGGTCTATATGACGTGAACCTATATAGGCATTGTTTGTCATAAGCCATTACCATATTCAAATTCGAAACTTAAAATAAACGGTGAATAATGTAGCTAAAATCATCAAAATATCGTATATAGGGAGGTACTGTTACATCGGAGCAGTGCGAAGACCTGGACCAGCATAGACAATTTTCTGTCACAGGCTATAGTATCCATTACTAACGTCCAATACGATATCTCAAACCATTTCGGTGGGTATTGTACATAAACTCGTCAAAATACCGAATATAGGGAGGTACCGTTATATGGGGGCTATACGAAGACCTGGACCTGCATAGACATTTTTCTGTCACAGACTGTAGTTCCCATTACGAACTCTAAATACGTAATTTAAAACAATTCTGGTGAATAATGACGCTAAAATCATCAAAATACCGAATTTTGGGAGGTACCGTTATATGGGGGCTATACGGAGACGTGGACCTGCCCAGATAATTTTCTGTCATAGGCTGTAATATCCACTTCGAACTTCAAATACCAAAGTTGAAACAATTTCGGTGAATAATGTCGCTAAAATAATCAAAATACCGAATATCGGGAGGTACCGTTATATGGGAGCTATATGAAAACGTGGACCTACATGGCCCATTTACGAACTTTACCAAAGACCTAAAATGGTAAAGACTAGACAAAATGCATTTTGAGCAAATTGTTTGTGTCTATAATACATAGAGTAACAGCTTATGCAGAGATATGTTATTATAAAAACCACAATTACAGAAAAGAATAACAAATAAAAATTTGAAAAATCCAAAATTTTTGTTTCAAAATTCTATTCCATGGACCTTTCCGAAAATGCACATTGCCTTAGCGGTTTAAATCAGTTAACATTGTTAACGATGTTGTTATGATATCGTAACAACAGAGGTATTTTCACAGGGTTACCATATCTTGACTCTGTCTTGTCCTATCTTTACACTTATATGTCTTTGACTTTACTAGAAAAATAAACACGTGTGCAAAATTTTAGCCTTCTATCTCAATTCGTTCGAAAGATAGCGTGATTACAACAGACAGACGGACATCGCTAAATCGACTTAGAATTTTACGCTGATCAAGAATATATATACACCCAGAGAAAAAATGACAACATCCGTGTATGAAATGACCACATCCGTGTATGATAGTGTATCAACCACGTTTGGTGTCAAAATGAGCACGCTGTTGTCATTTTGACACCGAGATTTTGGCAACGATTTCAACAACAGATGTGCATGAAATGAGCACATACGTGGTCATTTCGAGCACGCCCCGTTGTCAGATTGTCAACGCTTCGTTGTCAGATCGTCAACGCTTCGTTGTCAGATTGTCAACGCTCCGTTGTCGGATTGTCAACGCCCGTTGTCAGATTGAAATCAATGGTGGTCATTTTTTGATATCCGTTCCTTTTCCATTTTATACCCTTAGTAGAAGAAACGACATTTTTTGAAAAGTATTTTATTGAACGAAACCAATTACATAAATTCAATATAAATACATATTTGATTTAACAAAACAATTCGAATTACATATATTCAATGTATAGAAACAAATTAAATTAACTTAAATCTGAAATAAACTTTTCCATTATTCATAGGATATAAGTGAAATGGGTAAGTAATAAAATCTAAAATTGGTATTAAAAAAATTGTATCCTCATTCAGAGAACCAACTTCATACGATTGTAAATGGTAATCAAAGTTTTTAACTTTTACTTGGTTACATAAAATGTAAACATTTTCATTTTCAATTATTAAATGTTTAATTTTGAAAAGTTCAATTGCGGCATTATTTGTTGCTAAATAATAGTTTTTTTTATACCTAGTTCCCTTAAAAAAAATGTCATCAGACACTTTGCAATTTTGGTAATTTAAAACTGGCTTACTTTTTTTGTAACAATATTCCTCTTTTGCCAAATCTTCGATGGTATGCGTATTAATGATAACATTTGGTTCTAAGTTATCTTCGTGTTTTAATAAAAAATTGGAAAATTTCAATCCAGACTTAATAGATAATGAACGACAGGGATTTACTCTTGATGTAGTATTTCCTAAATAGGCTTTTGCTTCCTTGTGTTTAGCTTCGAATCTCATGCTCCAGAGATATTTAAGGGGACCACATTTTCGGATAGCTGTGGGATAGTGGACAAGAAAGTGGTGTTTCGGTTTTAACGAACCGTATAATGTTATATAAAGTGAATGGTGATCTCTAATTAATTCTTCCAATTTTATTAAATCGTCTTCTATATAACTTGGTCTTAAAAGTAAATCGATTATTTGTAATAATATTATAAAAACTTTCCAGTGATCGTTGGAGAAAGGAATTAAATCGCCTACCATTAAAGGTAAAAAATTAGTAAAACACATAGTTTCACTAGCTGTCATTTTTAAGTTATAGTTTTTCAATCTACATAAATCTAGTGGTCCAGATTTATTTCCCACTTCAATTTCTCCAAATTGGAATAAAGATTTTCTGCTGTTAATACAATCTAACGTAACAATATTTTCTTGAATCAGCCCGAGAATTACATTAGACATATCGTAGACACATATGCCCTCGAAAATGTCATGCATAATATCAAAACAAAAATTTTCAGTGACGTTAAAATTTGGTAAAGATTCGAAGATACACTTGTTTTTAATACCTGTTTCTTGAAAATTATTTTCCAATACATTTGAGTTGTAATTCTCTTGGTTTCTTAAACTATCTAAATGCTGAATTGCGTCGAATTGCATTTGGGACTTTTTTCTTCTACATACCCGGCAAAATCTTTTAGAGTTAAATGATTGCACGTAGCCTAAAATACTATTAACTGCTAAATTATCTCCAATAATTACACCTAAAATAAAATGCACCTTCTGAACACTTTGTTGAACACAAATTTCAACCCCTTCTTCTAGAATTTTTAACTCTTCTACAAGATTGTGAAATGAAACTTCATTTCCACGTTCTTTTAAATCCTTTGATGGTATAAACGCAGCAGTTAATATATAATCAAGTTTTGACAACAAGTGCTGTGGCATTGAAGGAAAGCTAATATAACAACCACATATGGAAAATGTATGGGTTCCAAGAGGATTATTAATTTGAAAATCATCCATGTAAAGGACATAGGGAATAACTAAATTGTACTGATATTTTAATAATTTAGTTTTATATAACTCACCGTTTGTAAAATTTTGTAAAACAGGTGAATTTAGGAATTTTTTGGAGTTTTCTAATGTCAAATCTAAGAGATTTGGAATTTTAAAAAGGGCACTTATCATGAATTTCAGTGGCATTATATAAATATTGGATAACTTTGGACCTAAACTGGGATTTCCGCTGATAACAATTTCCGAGACTTGATTGCTAATTACATAAACCTTTGGATCATCATAAAAGTTTAGTTCTTTTAAAATTTTTAAAAGTCTATATTCCGTTCTAGTTTCTTCGAAAGGATTTTTACAAAAGTTTAGTAAGTACCTTAAGTCTTCATAATTTGGATGATCAGTTATATATTTTTCAATTGTACATGAAATGGATGAAAGCAGAATTGAAACAGAATGTTGTATTTCTATAACATGATTTCTAGGCATATAGCTTTGACCATGTAATTGTAAAGACAGATATAAGGTTTTCTTTTTCAAAACATTTAAATCCTTTTCTATTGTATTGTTGTTAATAACAGTTTCACTGTTTGTATAATCATTTTCTTTTGATGATGACATTTCAACTGGCACATTAATGGCTTTAACCATTGGTGGAGCTTTTGTGTGATTCTTGTGAAGTTTTTCTAAATGAATTCTGAATGACGTAAATTTTGTAAATGTTTGCTTACAGTTGTCCTGAACGCATTGTACTTTTAAAAATTTAGTGGACATTAAATGGTCTGTTTTCAAATGAGCTATTAAAAGATTTGCCTTATCAAAATGCTTACGGCAACGAAAGCAAATATACATTTTGAATTGTACTTTAATTATTGTTGCAGAAATTAATAAGTGAAGTCAAATTAACTGATTTTATATCATATACAGTATTAATTTCATAAAAATATTTTTGGATAAAAATCCATGGAATTTGGCAGGCATTTGGATATTTTAAAGAAAGTGCATGAAAAATTTTAAAACATGTATCTAAACATTCGAGGAACGATTGAAATTTTAACAAATTGTGGTTAAAAAAAACATAAAAACCTTTTATATTGAAATCGGACAAACCCTCCACAATTATAAATGGCTGTATAGTTAATCCAGCATTGTAATACTTTTCAGTGACTGTATCAATTTGCCTTTTATAATCGTTAATTGTCGGTAGTCGCAGTACGAAACTTTCCTGCGAATCAGCTATTGTTACTTTTTTTCGTAATTTACCGTTTCCACATTTAAACCTAGCAGGTGATGGTAAAACTGAATTCAACAGTATTGCGTATATATAATCTTGAGCATCTGCAACCGAAATATAAAATAAATATTACTTTTAATGTTTATGATAAATCAGGAATTAAAATTTACCTATGCTGCTTGCCGTCAAAACATTTGCGAAGAGTTGTTTGCAATGTTCGTTATGAATATTTTTCCCATAATAATTGTAAATTTTTTTCTTAAATTGGTCCCATTTAGAAAGTAGAAGATTGCCTTTCTGTGGATACATAATATCGAAATCAATGTTGACCTAAAACGAAACATTAGTATCCATATACAAATAAATAGCTCATGGCTACTTACCAATTCTGAAGCTCTTGCATCGGACAACTTCGTCCATTCAAGGAGAAATGTATGGCTACTTAAATTTTTTATATCTCTTTGCCGTATGTTAAAAGATCTTTTCCATTTTTCGCAGATCGATCCCCAATCATTACATTCTCTTAGTAAGGAAGCTTTCAATGAATTTTCAACTGATTCATCAATTTCGGGAACATCTTTGTTACAAAAATTAGGAGATGTGTGAGTTGCTGCTTTGCTTGTGCTAGGCTCGGAAATCAAAAGCTTTATTCTTTTGGACTTCTTGTTTCTATACTTGGCATAAAGTTTTCCGCTTGCGTTGTTCTTTCCTTTTCTTGAAATGTAATAATAATCCTAAAAATAAAGACATATTATAAGTTAAGAAACTACATAATCAGATACGTTGTTTATATTGTTAATCTTACCCTCATTTCGTTTTCAAGAGGAAAAACGGAACAAATTTCATCCAATATGCGCATATAGTCTTGAGTGTAAAGAGTAACATTGTTGGTTAAAATATCTTCAATAATTATATTAATTATATCATCTCTTTGCTCGTCACTTAATTTCTTATTAACGCTACTACATTCAAGCGCTAGTTTCCCCTTCGAGGTATGTGTTAACAATTCCGTTAGATCCTATATTAAATAAAAAAACTACATTAACTATGCTTACACAAATATTACTCTTACCTTACCTCTGACAAAATTCCTTTGGCTTTTGAGCAGTTCGAACCTGTAGTGTCGGGAGTACCAGGAGTACTTGCAGGTGTCTCGTTGCGTTTCCACCATTCACCTATTTTAGATGGAACTGACATAGTTTCGTCATCAATCCCGAGCTATTGTTATGACAATATTAATACTGAGTTCAACTCTGTAAAACAAATAATACGTACCTTTCGTTTTTTCCAAGCAAAGAGCTTTTCTCTGAATTCAACACGCAGTCCCAATGGTGGCACTGCTTCCTTTAAATCTTCTTTTTTCAAGTACTGCAAGCTGCGAAATGTTACATGTGATGCTAAAAGAACAAAAAAGAAAATTCTTTGTTAATTACACTGATTAACTGAAAAATTCATTTTTATTTACTTACCTTTTAATTGTTCAAAAAGCGACTCCATATTTATTCCTTTTAAGAACTCCCTTAACATATAATCGTCCTCATTGTTTTCCGCATCTTGACTGCTGCAATGGTTTGTATCGCGAACCACAACAATATTGCCATCGATTTCTAACAACTCACCAATGATATTTTGAGGATCTTGCGAATTATTATTCATTTTCAATAAATTTTTTGCACAATGCGTCCTTTCTCTTTCAATAACACGGAAAAAATGGTAAATATGCAGCCGATTGCACACGAGTAAAAAAAATGACAACGGTGGTGCATGATTCATACACGGTAGTTGCTAAAATGGCAACGATCGTGTACGATTCATGCACGTCGGTGTACAAAGTAACAACGGTGGTGCATCATTATGCAGGTGGTGGTGCATAATTCATACACGACCGGTGTCATATTGACAACGACCGTGTGTGAATCATGCACCACCGTTGTCATTTTTTACTCGTGTGTAATCGGCTGCAATTACCAATATTACAAATGGACAAATTAAGCACGGCTGTTGTTGGTACCGAAAGTTGACCACGTCTCGGTGTCAATTTGAGCACGTTCGTGCACAATTCACCAACAGCCGTTGTTGAAAAATATAACAACGGGTCGTTGCGAAAATGACAACATACGTGCTTGATTTCGCAACGGGATTTTTCCCTCAGTGTACTTTGTTGGGTCTGACATGAGTATTTCGAGGAGTTACAAAAGTATGAAAACACTACAAATGTACATTCGAAAAAAGTAAGTCAAAATGGAAAAAAATCATGCTAAATTAAACATTACGATTGTACATTTCAAAAGTCAGAATGAAAATGTTCAAATTTCAAATTTCTATGCGATTTTTTTGGATTTTATCCTTTTCGGCCAAGAGACAATTCCGAATTTGTACGAATCGTTAAAATCAGTCCAGCGGTTCATAAGTTATAAGCGTAGTAACTAACACAACTTTATTTTATATATATATATATATATAGATAGACTAGCTGGCCCGGTCCGCGTTGCCGGCCCGTAGTTTTTGCTTATTATATCCTCCACCATGGAAGGATGGAAAGGAGGGTATATTAACTTTTTCATTCCGTTTGTAACATCCCTATATGATCGTCATAGACCCCATAATATATATATATATATATATATATATCCACAATCAGCATAAAAATCTAAGTCGATTTGTCCGTCTGTATGTCTGTTTGTTTAAATTACGATACAGCCCACATTATTTGACGTAGAGCAAAATTTAGCAGAACAATTTGTATTGTGTATAGGATGGTTGGTACTGAAAGTGAGATCTATCGGTCCACGTTTTGGTATAGTGCCCATATTACGGTATCTCTAGAAATTCGGTATTTTGATGATTTTTGCCACATTTCTACTCGGATTTGTCTAACAAACATAACGATACCTACCGATATTGGGTATGTTGATAATCCTAGTCACATTTGCGTACATAATTGTTTCAATTTCAATTGGTATTTGCTTTGTTTGATATATGACAATCCTTGATGTATAAAATTGTCCACAGAGGTTCCCGTTTTGGTATGGCCTCATTCACTTTATGTTTTTTTGATAAGTTAACTGCATTATCCAAAACAGTCTTACTGGTATATGAAGTTTAAAGTGAAACACCCTTGAATTCAGATAATTTTATATAAAAATGTTTCCTTTACCCTAAGGTGGATGATAATAATAGTTCTGCCCGGCCGAACTTATTTTTTTACTTGTTTTTAAAGTAATATGTAATGTGCATATCTTTTATAATAGTATAATTTAAAGACGATTAAACAAATGTCCGGTTCCTTAAGTCATATGATGGTTATGCAAAACGTGATCAGTTTTTGCAAGGGTGGTTCCTTCCCAAATTACGAACATTTGCAGAAATTAGTATGAAAATATGATTAAAATGTAAGATATACTTGAAATCGGGTTGTATCCTTATCCGGGGGTCATGACCCATAACATGAACTGCAAAAGCGATTTATGGCATCGTGAAATTTTAAGAAGAACTTCTGAAAGAATAGAAGTCCTCTTCGTTTTTTGCGCCCTTTATATTCGGTATTTCACTAATTGTAGTCCCAATGAATTTTGCATATTGAGTTCTCATTGGACGGATTATTGTCATGTGAAAGAAGTAGGTAGGTTGGAGTTGAAAGGAGTTGAAAGCTAAATGCCAATTTCAGACTTGAAAGATCGCCATTTAACATCGTATTGCCTACTATTTCATTTTTGATATTATTCATTCAGAATTCAAAACAATAAAAAATGTACACTTCTATATAGTTTTTAAATTGAAAAAAAAATCACGCCAAAAGGATTTTTTCTTCTATATTTTTTATGTTATATTTTACGCAATTTTTTTTTGCCAAGATTCCATTCAGAAGTTTTATGAATTGTGAAAATCCGTCAAAACGTTCTTGAGTTGTAAGCATAGTAACTAATAAACAAATTGAAAAATCTTCAACTTGTTCGCTGGTTTATTACAGCAAATGTTTAAAGGTCCTTACGAAGTTTGGTTCTTACTATTTTTTTGAAATCTGATTCCATTGAAAAAATGTTTTCTATTTATACCCGATTTTAGAGTTTTTGCAATAGGCTCTTTTTTTGATTTCTAGTAATTTTGAGAAAGTAATTACCTTTTAACTTTGGTTTGACCATGTTAAATTATTTTCACATCATCTATTAAGGTCCGCCACTCCATAATTGTCGTCGTTTTATACTACCAAAAAAGACTACACATCATATTAGAATTCAAAAAAAAAAAATAATAATAATAACACTACAAATATACATTCCAAAATAGTGAATCAAACTGGAAAAAAATGCAAAATAAAACATTACTATTGTACACTTCAAAAGTCAAAATGAAAATTTTCAAATTTCACATTTTTACGTTTTTTTTTTTTTTATTTGGATTTTATCCTTTTCTGCCAAGAGACAATTCCGAATTTATGTGAATCGTTAAAATCAGATCAGCGGTTCTTGAGTTATAAGCATAGTAACTAACACAACTTTATTTTATATATAGATAGATTAGAAGTATGCGTGGTCAGTTCCTCAGCCCCCAAATAAATCCCTAGGGTTGTTTTATATAAATCAAGATAGGTATGACGAACGTTTGTACAAAAAATTATGCAAATCGGTCCAGCCGTTTCAACTGATTCCATTACCAACGAACAACAATTGATTTTTATATATAGAAGAAGATATATTTAGATTAAAAGGTAGGCGTGGTTAGTTCCTCAGCTGCCAAATAAGTACTTAGCGTTGGATGGGAAGTCAACAGTATCTCGTGTAATCATTTTTAAACCGATATCTTCATTATTTTGGTAAATATAAGGATTTTAAATAAATCGAAATAGTGGGCGTAAAATTAGGCTTGGTCAATACTTTTTTCTTTAAAAACCTAACTCGGGGTATGACGAACGTTTGTACAAAAAATTATGCAAATCGGTCCAGCTGTTCTCAACTGATTCCATTACCAATGAACAACAATTGATTTTTATACCCTCCACCTTGGAAAGGAGGGTATATTAACTTTGTCATTCCGTTTGTAAAATCCCTAAATATTCGTCGTAGACCCCATAATGTATATATATTCATAATCAGCATAAAATTCTAAGTCTGTTGAAATCACGATACAGCCCACATTATTTGACGTGGAGCGCCAAAATTTAGCAGAGCAATTTGTATTGTGTCTAGAATGGTTGGTATTAAAAATGAGATATATCGGTCTACGTTCTGGTATAGTCCCCATATAATGGTACCTCCCGATGATTTCGGTATTTTGATGATTTATGCCACAATTTTTCACGGATTTGTCTGTGCCTGTGCGTGTGGCAAAACATTGCATGTATAAGTCCACGTTTTGGTATAGCCCCCATATAAAGGTATCTCCCGATATTCGGCATTTTAACTTTTTTGCCACATATTTTTTACGGATTTGTCTAAAAAATGGTATTTGTTGGTCATAATGGGTTCCCTATATAGCGGTACATCCCAATATTCGGTATTTTGATGATTTTTGCCACATTTTTCACGAATTTGGCTGAAAATTGGTATTTGTTGGTCTTAATGGGTTCTAGCTCTTTTGGCGAAACACTGTATGTACAGGTACAGGGGGAGGGTATTAAAAGTTTTCCCCGGCCGAACTTAATGTTTTTTACTTGTTATATAGGGTAAGTGTACCAGTAGTCGGCACTTTTAGGATTTTCGCGTTTTTAATCGCTCACCATTCTGAGTTGAACTTTTCAATTATTACAAAGTTAATTTATTCAGATTCGAAATGTTGTATAGTTTTTGCAATAATAAATAAAGTTTTAATAACTTTTTATTAAATTTCATAAATTTGTTGTTTTATTAAAACAATGCTTTTTTGCCAGTAGTCGGCACCACTTGCCAATTGTCGGTATGGCATTTTCCAACAGTCGGCATGCCAATTTTTTTTTGTAAGAATACTGAATAATAATAATAAATTAATTCATTAAAATATAATATTTTTGTTTAGTTAAACTGATTCGACGTCTTTATTGTACTTTTCTTAAGAATGTGAATTGTCGAGGACCTTCACAGACAAAAATTTAATTTTTATTAGAATAAATCATCTTTTCTTACCGAAATTGTACACAAAGATAGCTGATCTCTAAAGCAAATCTTTAAAGGTCCTTACAAAGTTTGTCAATAGAAATTCGATTCCATTGAAAATTTTTCCTCGATTTTTTTCCGATTTTAGAATTTTTGCAATCCTGCAATTTTTTCAAGACTATCTCTTTTTTATCTTTTAGTGATTTTGAAAAAGTAATTATCTTTTAACTTTGGCGTGACCGCGTTAAATTATTTCGACATCATCTATTCAGTTTTACCACCACATAATTCGGTACTACAGTTCAATGTAACCCGCCTGCAATTTCAGTTCTAAACAAAACCGATACACTTCAACAAAGTTAATCAAATTAAAAAAAAAAGTTCGTACACAATAAAATATTTTGATATTATTCGCATAGTTCCACTTACCCAATAAATACATAAAATTTATAAATAACCGTTTCGTCCGTTGTCGATTGGGGAGTACCCAAAAAAACTTCACATCATATTAAAATTCAAAAAGAAACCAAAAAGAAGTAAAAACAGCTGTAAGTTCGGCCGGGCCGAACTTTGAATACCCTCCCTTGGACCTGTACATACAGTGTTTCGTCAAAAGAGCTAGAACCTATTAAGACCAACAAATACCAATTTTCAGCCAAATCCGTGAAAAAATGTGGCAAAAATCGTCAAAATACCGAATATTGGGAGGTATATGGGGACTTTATCAAAACGTGAACCTATACACACAATGTTCCGCCACACGAACTAGGACCCATTATGACCCACAAATACCAATTTTTAGATAAATTAGTGAAAAAATGTGGCAAAAACCATCAAAATACCGAATATTGGGAGGTACCGTTATATGGGGGCTATACGAAGACGTGGACCTGCATAGACAATTTTCTATTATAGGCTGCAGTATCCATTACGAACT